AAAAAATTAAAAAAAAAAAAAAAAAAAAAAAAAAAAAGAAATAAGTGAATGAAAAATTTAAAATATACCAGGAATGAAGTTTGAATTTTATATTTCCGTCATGTATAGTTGTACAAAATTTCTATATTCTCGCATATGTTAGTATTCTCGTTAGTCGTTAGTCGATAGCGAATACATGACAAATGAAACGAAAAAATCCGACGAGACTGGGTTTCAGTTTTGGTAGGATCCAGCGTGTCGGATCGTGGTAACCTTCGCGCCTATTTTATAAGCCATTCCCTCTTGAATCTTCTTGCGACTTCTCCGGCTTGATTCCCCAAAGTATCAGCACTATGAGCATGCAGCCAACGAAGAGGAAAAGAAGAGAGAGTAAGAAACATCTCTGAAACCGCATTCGTCGCGGCACGATGGCGCCCTATGGGCGCCGTCGCACACTCCCTACTATATAGCTACGACGATAGACCAGGTACGTAGCTTCGAATACAAAATCTGCGAGCAAAGTTTGCAAAGCATTTACAATGATCTTACAAAGATCACAAAAATTTCGACACGCACAAGAAGTTAAATAAGTTAAATATCCACGTCTGTACGATGCAGTATTATTAAACTGCATGGATAAGGAACTAATCGAAGCTGTTCGAGAAAGCTCCGTCGGATGAAATGTATTTAAATTTTATTACAAATAATTAAACGAATCAGATATTGATTCCTTAAACGTGTTTTCTAAACAGTGCTGGACAATATGTTACGGAATAACAATGCAAATATATCTGCGCGCAAATGTAATGCAAAATGAAAGAAAGAAATTGATTGTATCGATCAGTTTGAAATTTCATAATTAGAATGTTCGGTTAGAATTGAAAAGGCAGTCCAAAAGATTTCGCTCGGGTGCCGGAAGCTAAAGATACATCGGTGACACGTGGTATACATATCTTTGTTTCTCTCTTTTAGATAATCTCCAGGCGGCCATCTCTGTCTAATGGCCGAAGTGCTACAGAACCAGCTCTCCAATAAGCGACCAGTTGTTTCCGTAGAAGGACGGAAAGAGCCGAACCTGATCAGCCTGCGCTCTACGGCCGACGCGTCTCGCCCTACGTCACAGTGAAGTATGTGCTCTCGAACGTAGAAAATGGCTGCGCTCTTCGCTACCTCAGGTCGGCGCAGATGTAAATACGGCCTGTGGGTCAGCTTAGTGTTTGCCGCGGAATTTGTTTGTGGTGAGTATGCTTGTGGCTTGTTTTACAATTATATGTATGAATAGTGTTTTACGTAAAGTGGTAAGTGCATATAGTATAAGTGCCAAATGTATCAAAGAATCGATCGGATGCGGATTTTAGATGTGAAAATGTTATTAATGTATGCTGTTAATCATTGTTCGCTTTTTGGTACATGAATGAATGTTGGTTCTGTCGTTTCTATTTTCTTTCTTTATCTCTCCCCCCTCCCTCTCTCTTCCTCTCTGTCTTTTCACACTCCTCTCTCTCCCTTTTTCTCTTTCTCTGTCTCGATCTTACTCGCTCTCGTTTTGATTAATGATGTTTCAGCACTACTTTTTCTTTCAACACATTAACAACAAACACACATCTGGCTTTTGAATGTTTTGCGAATGCGAAAGATCATAATACGATAAGATCCCGGACCAATCTTGCTTTTTAAAGAAAATTTTCCCAACCAAATATTATGTAGTATAGCGATTCGAGCGGCAGTTCCGCGATATGTACATACTTAATGCGATTCTCTTCGAACGTTTACGTACGTATCGGTTTTATCGGTTATTATTTGCAAGCTCGGATTTTCGTAAACAAACGTGAGTTTCGATGCTCGCAAATGCGTAGACCGTGATTCACTACACGCAATGAGTGTATTTTTGCAAAAGCAGTCCTTATTTATCAAAGTAAAACGGACTCGTTCTTTACCCTTGACTTGGAGAGGAGACAAGGAGGAGAGAAAAAGCGAGCGGTAAGCAAGAAAAACGAGGAGGTTAGGCGTTAAGGTTAGGGACTGAAATACCAGCAACAGTGTTGTCCCGTCGCTTTTGCACGCTTCTAAACGTTCCCTCAACGGCACGTCGACTTTTTCCTACTTTTCTTTGCTCTTTCTTTTTTCTTTTCTTCACGTGACTCGTACCACATTCGAACGGTCTCCATTGGTTTCGCGTGTAACTATCCTGTATTTCTGTCTAGTTTGTTTGTCCCTCGTAGCTTCTGTTCAGATTAATTTTAGGCATCGCCGAAATTGCTTTCCCCAGAGAGAGGCGACCGATTCCTCAATTTCCAAATTCGTCCGCTTTCCTGGAACAAACTTTGACAGGTTGGACACAAGCCTGTTACTGTTACATTCAAATTCTGTGCTATCTCTAAATATCGTTCAAATTCCATTCTTTTTTCTTTATCCTTCGTCCGTTTCACGGCATATCGTTAATGTTAGATTTAGTAATTACGCCGTTCAATGACTTCTGTGAATATTCACTGGTATATTCCAAGCTTCTCTTTTAGAATCTTTCCTCTGTAAAATGAGAAATTCATCAGTAAAGTAAAAACTAGATAAACTTTATTAAGACTGCGTCAAATTTTTTCTTATCTTATAAAAATAAATAAAAGTATGTTTCAGTTTAATTTTTTATGTTCAAAACTTACCAAAAAAGGTTAGATTAGATTATATTTGGATCAGATTTAAGCTGAATTTCAATAAATTTGTTTAAACAACAAATTGAAATAAAAAAGGGTAATGTGTAATCTTTTTTGTCAAATTTTAAGTTTTTCTTTCACATAAAAAAAGACTAAAGTCACTAAATTGGATTATTACTTTTGATTCTTCCCATGATGGACTCGTATCCTATATCATTGTTTCCTCGTTGTAATATATAACATGCACATACATCATCGTTATTCAAACATACAGAGCAATTTGTCTCTGGTTAAATACGATATTCATCGCGCAGAAGATACATCGCCATCATGTTTTCTGCATTCTGCGCATACCAACTAAAATCATATTATACATATTTTTTTCTATACCTATAATAAGAATTAAACAATTAAATTAAATAAATTTAAAATAAATAAGTAAATAAATCCAAACGGTATTGTGTACATACGTGTATATACGTTATACATACATCGTTTGTTAACTTTAGAAATGTCATTTGGCAAAATCTTTTCGCTTGATAAATATACATCTAGGATAGGATATGTTATTAATTACTTCTATTCCTATACTCCGGTTCTCATTTTGTACTCTTTAATTCTACAAATGCTATCAGCGTATGTTAAGGTTGCTGTTCAGTGATTTTTATTATATTTCAACTCTTTGATGTTCAGTAAATGTTAGTCGCACCAAAATAAAATGGCGTAATGTCTAACGAAGAGACCTAAATACCGATTGAATTGTTAAATAGTCGATTACAGAGTAAGAGACATAATCAGTCAAGAACTAATCCATTTGATTGGATTTATTAGTAATTTATTTTTATTTTATTTTATCAATAATTATATCGACGTGATATTTTGATAAAGCCACACTTTCTATGTAAAGAATTAAAAGTAGTAACTGATTTCCAATTTTATTGAATATTTTAATATCTGCTTTGTATTAACATCTTTTTCATCATCCGTAAAAAGTTGGGATACAAGTATTTAGTTGAAATACATTGTGTTGTTTACATTAATTACTTCGCAAAGACGTACAGAGAAAAATATCTGCGGAAATTTATCGAAACCCATTCGTACGAGTAGGATTCGATTTGCCTTGATTCAATCTTATTCTCTATATCTCCTGATCTCTTTCGCATTGAACAATCTCTACCTCCGTAAAATGTATATCGATTATCGACCATTATACGATTTTTCTTTGGCACTTACGAAACAAGCAAGGATAAAAGAACCATGTGATCGAATCCGTACTAAACGTGTTTTACCTCTCTTGGAGATTGTCGGATAATCGTGCATCAGTGATTTCCTTGTACGGTGCGATCAGCGCACACGGGGCGTTATTATGCCGTAGGCTACAAAACTGGTAGGTTACGAACACATGCTCCTAATAAAATTCAATTCGAGCTTACTTTATTATTAATAATAAAATTAAAAATAAAAGTTGCCCAATTCTTTTGTTCTTTCTCCCTGTCCCTTTCATAAATTGTTATTACTATTATGAATACTAAAACATTGTATTATTTGAATATTATATAGTATTTTATTTTATATGTATATTGATATTATAATAAAAAATTATGTTGCATTTTATTTTACAACATTTAAACTTAAATAATCTTAAACTTGTTTGTATACACATTTTCGCATGTTATTTAAATTAATCTATGATTAACTCTGTCATTTAGATTGATCTATAATTAACTTTAAAAGCTTATATATTTGTATTGTTTTTTCTTATTTTACCTATATTTACAAGTATGTTACTATATGTCAATCCGCTATAAGAAGGTAATAAAACAAACCAAAAACACATAAATAATCGTTTTCAATAAAATTTTGTGTTATTGTCCATAATTATCTTTGTATCACAGTAAGCATTACAATACTCTCTTAATGTCTTTTCTTCTATGAATTTAATCATTCGTGTCTGAAATATTGATGTATCATAATGATAATTCTGACAATAATGTCATTTTTCAGCATTAGGACTTACATGCTATTGTGAAGGACATTGCCCAGATGATAGAGAAAATGGAACTTGTGAAGGTAGACCTGGTGGTCATTGCTTTAGTGCAGTAGAAGAAGTTTGGGATGCAGAATCAAGAGAATATGTGCCTGAATGGTCATTTGGCTGTTTACCACCAGATGAGCAAGGTTTCATGCAATGCAAAGGATCCCTCGTGCCACATTTTCAAGAGAAAAGTATAATATGCTGTAACAAGAGTGCATTGTGCAACAAAGATGTATATCCTGATTATAAACCCCGAACTACCACAGTACCTAATCCTATGGCCATAGCTTCGGGTGCACCACTTATAATATTGACTACCATTTTATCTATATGCTTAATGGTAATTTTAATAGCTATGGTGATCATATATCACAGATACAGAAGAAAAGAAAGAGGCCCTTGCCTCGTGCCTTCTCAGGGAACACTTAAAGACTTTATTGACCAGAGTAGTGGCTCTGGTTCAGGATTACCTCTTTTAGTACAACGAACTATTGCCAAGCAACTAGCCTTGTCTCAGTGTGTTGGGAGGGGACGTTACGGTGAAGTATGGCTTGCAAGATGGAGAGGCGAAAAAGTGGCAGTGAAAGTATTTTTTACATTGGAAGAAGCATCTTGGTTTAGGGAAACTGAAATTTATCAAACTGTGTTGATGAGACATGATAATATTTTGGGTTTCATCGCGGCTGATATCAAAGGCACAGGATCTTGGACACAGATGTTACTAATTACAGACTATCACGAAAGAGGCTCGCTACATGATTATTTACAAACTACTGTTCTGGATCATCATAGCCTCTTAGCAATATGTCTTTCAATTGCTTCTGGAATTGCTCATTTGCACACAGAAATCTTTGGTACACGTGGAAAGCCTGCTATAGCTCATAGAGATATCAAAAGTAGAAACATTTTAGTGAAAAAGAATGGTGAATGCGCAATTGCTGACTTTGGTTTGGCAGTAAGATATATAAGGTAAATAATAAATACATAATTTGCAAATGTATTATGATTACGCGACGCATGTGTTTTCTATATACATATATGTATAGAATGAAATGATCGTAATAAGACTCGATTCAGTACTTGTTTTGTAATTTGACTATAATATATATAAAAAATATAAGATGATAACATTTTATTTACAGTGAAAGTGGAGAAATTGATATTGCACCTAACACACGAGTGGGTACTCGTCGATATATGGCTCCAGAAGTTTTAGATGAAACTTTAAACACATCTTCCTTTGAAGCTTTCAAAATGGCAGATATGTATTCTGTTGGTCTTGTTCTTTGGGAAGCTTGTAGAAGATGTGTTACAGGTGGCAAGAGTTCTATAGTAGAACCATATGCTTTGCCATACCATGATGTTGTTCCAAATGATCCAGATTTTGAAGATATGCGATTAGCAGTTTGCATAAAACGATTACGTCCAATAATACCAGCGCGATGGGAAACTGATTCGGTAGGAAAATAAAATCAGTCATGTTGTGTGATATCTTAATATAACAATTGTATTAAAACTAAGTGCTTTTGGCTTTTGTTACAGATCTTGTTTGCGCTGAGCAAATTGGTAACCGAATGTTGGCATGCGAATCCGGTCGTTCGTTTAACAGCGCTACGCGTGAAAAAGACAATATCAAAATTACATATTGATAATGCTATTAAAATCGTGTAACATTCGACGATATTCGTCGAATGTATTCTATCTTACCGCTAGTAGCTGAGAAGTAATTTCTTCCCTTGTAAATAACCCGGTGTACATAGATTTATTGACAGACTGCAAGCCTGAAGACTGAATATTAAGATTTAAAAATACATGAAAACGTATGAATGTGCAAATTTATATGATCAAATGAATGATCAATTGTAAATCAAGAAGAACGAAATTATGATGAATGGATGTTGTGTATGTGTACATATTTTTGTTTTTAAGTGAAATGTGAGAAAACATTATAATGCCAATGTTTTAACGCGCTTCACTATGTTGAAATTTATTGAATATGTAATTAACGATGGCTACTACTTAGTAAGGATAATTTTTTTTTTTCAGCCTAAAAAAAAAAGAAAAAGAAACACATGAACGTTAAACAAAAAATTTCAAATAAATTTAATAGCAGAAATTTATTGAAAAATGAAAATACCGTTTCCGATGATAGCATTTAAATTTACCGTATCTATTCAGTGTTATGAATTTATTATACGTATTAAATCCCACTATTAACAGAGTTAATAATATTTACATGCCTTTGATATGTTTGTCATTGAAAAGTACAATGAATATACAGTTTTAATTGGAAAATGAAATATCTTGCAAGATATATGGAATTTTAAGTCGTTTGTAGATAAAAGAACGATTTTACATTAAGAACGTATGAAATATGTAGCAATTGTAAAATATAAATATTTGAAATATTCTTATATGTCAGAATATCTCGAAATATGAGATAAATTTTATTAATATTCAGTTTCCATAGGTTCTTTTTTTTTTATTACGCTTATTACCGAATTCTAAAGTAGGAAAATTATTTTTCAATAATATCGTTTTCCGTTGTCTTGATTCTTACGTTAAGTACCGTTTCTCTTTATATATTATATTATCTACATTGTAATATATAATTTACATCTTCAAGTTGATAAATGAGATATATTTCGTTCAATTTGTCAATTGTTAAATTTTAAAGCTGCATTTTGCCAATACAATTTTATTCACGAAAATATTTTGTAAGGTCTAATATTATTTTGATAAAAATATAAATATATCGATCTGTTCTAAATGATTAAATGTTGAGCATATCGGTGAAATTTATTTGGAAAGTTACAAAAATTTTTGTTAAAAATTGTTATATGTATTCAAGTTCTGAATATCTAATTATAGATTGTCATCGTATACAACAAATTACGTGACTGGTGAGTTCGTAAGTTTTCTATAAAAATGAATTGTATCTACGTTAAAGTTATGACTAACGGTTGGTTGATTGCAAACAATTAAATTTATATTTTTCACAAGTACTAAATTTAATATTATTTTCTTCATCCATACACGCAATACTTTTATTTCTTACGATTAGACAGGATTATTGTCCTTTGTTCTTCATCTATCTAAAAACGGTTATACATTGCAAGGGAATTTTCTTTCTCAGTTCTGTTGTAGACGATACATACGTTGCGTAAAAGCGTTGGTCGTTCGAATAGAAAAAGTTTCATGGGTAGAAAATCAATACACACTTGGTGCGTAGTATGATTATAAAGTTGTAAAGATTCAGGAGTAATGTCACTAGTAAGATGGAATGAAAATTTCAACTATCAAATTATCATAACGAGTATTGGACACGAATACTTTCAGACACAAATAAAATAGGATAAATCAACATTGTTTTAAATTATATCACTCTATCCTCTATTTCAACTGTATCGAGACTAATTTTAAAATATAACTTTTCGTAAAGAGACTAAGATCGTATGATTAAGTTTATTTGCTAATGTACATCACGGACGTTTAGTCTATAATAGGAAATTTGGTTCTCAACAGTTGGCGGTTCTGAAAGATTTTCGCATCGAAAGAGACGCCGCGGCGCTTTCCACTTCCCGGTCTGTTTCGATCCGCCATTTTTTAGGTAGCAAAGCGTGCGGTTTGCCGTTGTGTTTTATCGGAATTATTTTACGGAAATACTGACTTGGTAAGTGTTCCAATACTCTCACTATGTTTTACACGTAATTTGTTATAAGATAAAGCTAACATATTGATATAAAAATACATTTACACGGTTGCAACAGTGGAATCATGTAGTTATGGTTTATAGCGTCGACACGCAGATATCCGAAGCACGCCATTTCACGTTTATTCAATTCCGCAATTCCGTGTATAAATTTTATACATGCGTTTTGCTTTGTTTTTTTCTTTTTTTTTTTTTTATTAAAATGTAAAAAGTAACTGATCTCTAATAGTATGTGATATTTATCATTAAGTTGTTTTGTATATCATTACGAATAAACCGATGCCAGTCGAACTCGTGGTACATACGGTTTACGGTTTGCGTTGCGCCGCATATTACTGATCCAGCAAATTTTCATTTCGATGCTCCATAATAATTTTTTATAATGATAATACTTAATACTTAATTACAATTGATAATACTTACAATTTTAAAATGTAAAACATGTACTTAGCATAAACTTAGTCTTGAAATTTGTTGTACGTTATGTATCATACATTGTTTGAATCGCAGAGGTATTGACGTATAAGAATTTTATACAAATATTAGTAATGCTAATAATACGATTAATGTTGGTCACGCGTAGTATTGTCGTAAAATTGTAATTAATGATTTACACAATGATTATTGTTAATTTTCAACATTTCTTCCTGAAATGTAAATTTTTAATCGCATGTGAAGCATTTTGATACCTTTAAGGCAATTGTATATATTTACGAGTTTTTCGCGTGCTCTGAACACGTCATTCTGAGAACTGTTCTTAATACATTAATATTTCGATATTGCATGTGAACAAACATGTACCTACTTATATATATATATATATACATATACTATGCGTTACGCTCAGAGAATGGAAATTTAATTTATCCCATTCTGAGTACGGGAAAACGTAGAATTAACATTGGTAAGAAGGAAAAATAATTAATTTAACGTAGAAATAATTCCCGCGTCAATCTATTCGCAATACACGAAGTATAGTTAAAGGTATGTTCGTGATAGGTTTTTGAACGCACCATTCTCACGGTTTGCTGTACTGCAGTTTTCCGATAGGGGCCACTACCTCGACATCACTCGCACTAGCGGACGCGGCAAGTGAGACGCCATTGTTAGATTGCGTTCTCTTGTGTAAATTCGTGCGTGCCTGTTATCAGCGTTGGTTAACTCGTTCGTTGAAAGTAGTACGCAGTAATCTTCGGTGAGTGTGAGAAATTGTATAGTGTTTGAACGTAAATTTATACATGATAATTAGAGGGTGATCGTCACTACGGACATTTCCTAGAGTTGATGCGCCATTTCGACAAGGTCGGTACGCTCTCTGTACTACGTATTTTGTAACGTACTACTTGTTCATGGCTTGTGTACCATTTCATTGTCCAGCCGAAGTAGAAACTAGAAAAATTATGTTATACCATCTAGAACTTGTCGAGCTAATATTATTCGCTAACATTTGTACTGGCAAATTCGATTTTTTTGACGAAATTGATGACCTTCGAAATTCGAATTCGTTAGCAAAATGGTGGAGAAAAGATCACTAGAGGGGAAATCTAAACAATCGCGTCATCGTTAGTTATTCTAAGTTGCATTTCATTTTTTTCTTCCGCGTATTTTGGGAACTTGCGAATATTACGTTTTAATATTTGATGTTTCGTTCGTTTTAACAGCAAATTAATTATTTGTTGGAAATACGTAGTGCAGTACAATGCTGAGTGGCGTGTGTTGGTTGAATCATGTTGCCAACAAATAAAAACGCAAGAAGTCGTGAATATTCTAGAAATGTTAGACTTTTTTTTAATGTTGTTGCAACATTGTATTTATTTTTTTCTTGATTTACTATATGTTTGAAGAAATTATGCAAGTCAATGATGAGTAATATTTGAAATATTTTTTTTCTTTTGAAATTAGGTTCTAGAACGAGCCGAAAATGCCGGGTTTTAGTAGTGTTGGCACGTTTAAAATTTTCATCGGTAATTTAGCCGATAAAACATCAAATGCCGATATTAAACCTCTGTTTGAAAAATATGGCAAGGTTGTAGAATGCGATGTGGTCAAAAATTATGGATTTGTGGTAAGTTCTTTTTTATTCCACACAACATGCATTCTTGTAATAATTTGCTTGGTCCATTGTTTGCTTCATCCTTACCTTATAACTCTGTTGGATGGTCACATCTTATTCCGTAACTTGATTTTTTTTTTTTTTTTTTCGTTAACACGACAAATATGTTATAATGTAATTTTCAACAGCATATGGAGAATGAAGAAGCAGGGAGAAATGCGATACAAAATTTGAATGGCCACATAGTTCATGGACAGCCAATCAAATGTGAGGCTGCAAAGAGTCGTAAGGGACCTAATACTCCCACAACCAAAATATTTGTTGGCAATCTCACAGATAATACGAAAGCGCCCCAAGTGCGCGAATTGTTTGCCAAGTATGGTACCGTTGTAGAATGCGATATCGTGAGGAATTATGGGTTCGTCCATCTAGAAGCAACAGGTGATGTCAACGATGCCATCAAGGAACTCAATGGACAAATGGTGGATGGTCAACCGATGAAGGTTCAAATTTCTACAAGCAGAGTACGACAAAGGCCAGGAATGGGAGATCCTGAACAGTGCTATCGATGCGGTCGCGGCGGCCATTGGTCCAAGGAATGCCCGAAAGGAGGAATGGGAGGAGGACCGGATAGAAACGGATACAGAGACCGAATGTTTGGACGCGACCCGTATCCTCCACCGCCGCCACCACCGTTCCTTCGGGACCGGTTAATGGGTGGTGGCCGCTTTGGAGTAAGTAGTTTTATTTTATTTATAAAAAAATTTATATATATATATATATATATAAAATATTGAGAATAGAATGGTTTTATTCTGAATATTCAGAAAAAAAGAGAAGTTTATTATACAAATACGACCATTTGTAACAATATGTTCTTTTGTTTGTGTTACAGGACTACGAAAGCTACTATGACAGGAGAGGCTTCGAGGACACCAGGGACCTCTACGAGAGGCGGTTTACGGGTATGACAGGGCCCTGTGACATGGGAAGTTCCATGTGCGGGCTTGACTTTCCACCAATGACAATGCCACCTCTACCTCCAAGACGAGACCCAATGCCTCCTATGCCTCCTCTAGGTATGGGATCCATGCGCGACACTGGCTTCTCCCGTGGTAACGAGTATGGCATGTTCAGCCGCAGATCACCCCCTCCAAGTGGCAACAATGGCCGGTTCAGGTGAGTAGAGCCAATTTATTGACTGCCCATTCGTCCGACTTAACATTGTGAACGTTCCAGGCTGGATTGAGAGCTCATGCGAATTGGGGTTCGGTTATTCGTCGACATTTACCAATTATTTATTTTATCGTGCATTTTATTCTTTTCTCTTGTGTGTATTCTCAATCTCATATTTTTCAAAAGTTTATCTCTCTCTTGAATATATACGTATATTATTATTTTATGGAAAAGTGGCCATTTCTAAATTGCATCGGGCGAATGCGGGTTACTCTTTTTGTTCGCGACAAAAAAATTTTTGCACACGGTTAATACCGTTTCACATTTGATTGTTGCTACGAAATTTCTGTACCACATCTCTTCTTGTTTTATTTCTATTTTTTGGAAATAAAATCACACGATATATGTATGTACGTATACGCGTGAGTGTGTATATTCACGCGTATTACGCACAATACATATGCACATATGTATCATGTAATCATATTGTGTATTACGTTACACGTATAATTTTTGTTTGTTGCATTACATAGTTGATACAGCGATCGATATTGTTCCAATCCATGTAGATTGTCGACCCGATGCCCACATGAGTGCAGATTCTGTGTTATAAAATGCTAATGTGTATCATGACGCTTGGACGTTTCTGTACATTCTAAATTTCAGTGCACCTCAGGCTGCGTACCATCTTTGTCCATGAATGCGGGCAACCCTAGAGAGACAGTCCCGGGCCAGCGTTCAAGTCGTGCAAGAGTAAGTCTTTGACCACTTTTGTTAGCGAGTAGTCATACCTCGTTCTTGTCGCTGGCGCGTTGTACATCAGCAGCTTCTATTTTCCTCGATGCCAACAAAATCCGGGTCTCGACTGATCGTACCTTGAACATGTCGACTGCTCTTCTAGGGATGTCCCTGTTCATAGACTCTCTTGATCCATGGCGTTAACTGCGAGATTGGCCTGTATGTCTCTCATAAATCCTTTGTGTTTCAAGCGCTCCTTATTACGTACATCACTCAACCGGGAGTGGCGCGGAGGCCTGGGATGAAGAAACGTTCCTAAGGAATGCGAACTAGATTTCTTGATCGCACTACCGCGAGCCAGGATGCGATCCTACAATTCTAACAAACTCTCGTACGCTGTAGATAGAAAAGAAAAGAAAAGAAAAGAAAAAAAAAGGGCTGGCGCGATTTTCAGGAACGGCGCCTATCGATTGTCTTTGAAATGTCTCGTAAGTAGAAACCAGCTCTCCAGACGCATTGGACAGTAAGTTTGTTTGTATGTCGGCGTTTCTAATAGTTGTTAAGGCCAGTTTCATAGATACGCTTCGGAAACATCCTATTACACGTGCATCAGTTCCAATTTTCTTGATTCCGAGTAATTTCATCATCATTTTCAATCGTAATTTTTCGTTAGCCAACGTCGTAATTTTTCGATAGATGTGTAACTATCATTCGTAAAATGACCTCGGAAAGAGAAATTATGAATAGCTTCATAGATAGAGTTTCGAGTTCCTACGTTGGGAGGGAAAAGGGGGGAAAAAGTAACGTCGTGCACACGTCTTGTATTCCAATAGTTGTTTTTGTTTCCAAGTAATCGGGGGAAAGTGTGCGAATCTTTGATTTCCAAGTAATTTGTTTTTACGTTTGTTGCAATAAAAAAAATTTGTTCTCTTATGTTATTAGACCTCTGATACATGTATAATTGTTTTCTTTCAGTTCTTTTTTCTTTCCTTTTTTCTTTTCTCTCTGATTACAGTTTTATGAAAAGCTTTCTTGATTTTAATTTTACGTTGTTCTAACGTAAAAAACATAAGAAAAAAAATTGTGTTGATTAATTTAAAGGATTGCACTTCGAATTGATTGAAAATGTTAAGTTATCCGTGGAAGTTTCATGAAACCGGCCCCGCGTACCTACAGTATCAGTGCGAAGAGATGTACAAAAAGCTATGAAAACGTGCGTGTACAGACGGACATTGACACAATTACACACTCATTATGCAAGCATATGCATACATGTACACGCAAAGAAAAAATACACATGAATTTATGCAGAAAGAGCGAGAGCGTGAACACGCGCGGGAGAGCGAGTGAGAAAGAGAGAGATAGACGGGAAGGGGGGAAAAATTTTTGCTTCAAAATTACGATCCATAAGTTCTTGAAGCTGACTTCTACTCACGAGGTTCAAAGCTTTTCATGTATGTAAATCCATTCGCAAACTTTCAAATAGAGAACAGAGTTGATTGAATTTCTCAATCTTTCTGAATACTTTGAATTTGTTGTTGCATGTAACCTTATTATCCTACATGATCCCAGCCTGGGCTGCAAATGGCTCGTTACGTTCTCATTATGTAAACTGATTTATAATTTGAAAGTCGCATGGGTTAAAAATCCAGTCTAACGCTGCCTGCCTTATATGACTGGCTAAAAGACAAAAGAAAAAAATAACTAAAAAAAAAAGAGAAAAAAAAAAAAGAAAACAGACGAAAATATCCCATGTTCTTATCGCTGCGAATCTTGTATTACGCGTCCACTTATTTGTTTTCCTTCTAGTAAATGTACCTCGTATGAAATAAAGTGGATAGAAATAATTGGTTACTGCTTGCATTCAGATATTTTGGATATAATTTAAGTACGCGTAGCTTGACACATACAAAACTACACATACACGCACAGCATATATAAGAAATATAGGTCTGAGTACTCATTCGATTTTGAAATAATTGTTCCGATTATCTTGTTTATCAGCTTAGCGTGCGAATGCACACCATCTTGTACAGGCTCAGTTTTTAATTACGTATACATTTAATTTGTATACGGTTGCACAAGCATTCTTCCGAATAATTTGTTGTTCATCGATACTTTACGATGCATTCCTCTAGCATATATTCATCTAATACTTAGATGTGCATCCGGATGGAATAGGTGGTTAACTGTAGATCAATAGCATCTTCCGAAATTGTACACGAGCATATTTCATGTACATATCCGTAATGTTATCCGTCTATATCGTAAATACGTTCTTCTCATTCCCTCTTCAGCGGATTGTGTTTATCATGTTTGGTCGTTGGTAGTGTCTTCGTTTATTTTGTACATTGTCTGAACGTAAAACTGCCTATGAAAATAATTTTTTGCCAAGCCATTTCTGACTTTTTTTTCTAACCACTTGTAACAGTCATATTAGGCAGCACGCGGATATTTTTCTTGCATTATCCATTATACAGGGACTAATTCACAAAGTTAAGCCTTGGACAAGGGAGCAAGTATGGTGTATATATTGATCTTTGATCATTCGTAGTTTCGATTATTTATTATACCGCTGTTATAGTAGAGGCATGTACGAGGACTTCAGCCGAGATTCATTTGAAGAGCGTAGGTAAGTAGACGTGTCAATTCGGGTTAAAAATTGATCCACACTGAAATTGTGTGTCGAAACGTTTCCAAGTATTCGAGTGTCAGTTTAATTAATTCAGCTCTCTTCTTTGTACGCTACGATTCGCCGAATTGCCTTTTCTTCGTTTGTGTTCTCTTATTATTTCCTGTTATTGATGGAATATTACAGTGGAGTATCATGTGCCATTGGTAGAGAAATTTCAATTAGTACCAAAGTGAGATTAAAACTTAACGACACGTAAAAGTGTAGAAAACTTCAATTGCTGTGAAAAATCATTACGACTGGTCGTTAATGAGATCTATTTAATATTTACTCATCTATCATTGTCTACTTGTTTAATCCAATTCTACTTAAGATAGAGAGAGAACATAGTTGAAGAAAGGCAAAAAGACAACGTATATATTTTACAAAGAAGAGGAAAACAGAGAATGCTCGTAGAATGTGTATATACACACACACACACACACACGCATGTGTGTGTATATATATACATATATATAAATATATATATGTACAAAACTTGAAAGTTTTAATTTTTGTTGGCAAAAAAAAAAAAAAAAAATATACATGCTACTAATACACGTTGCCGAGAATAATTAGCGAGAATAACGAGGAAAAAATACGTACTCATTGCGGTGTATTTCCATCAAGTTTCTCCCATGAGTAACTTATCTTTACCCTCGTACCTCCAAAAGAAAAAAAAGAAAAAAAGTATTTATATACCGTATACAAATCGTTTTCTCTATCGGTACGTAGATAGTACGATTTTTCTTTTTTCATATGATAACGCGACGTATCACCCTTGTCTACTTACCTATCCGCCCTTTTTTTGTATCTCACAAGTTGCTCCTCTCTTAGCTCGTGTGGTTTTTTTTTCCCGATCTCTTTTTTATCGATCTCGCATAACTGACGTAGATTCATTTTGGTTACCAGACCGGGATTACGAGGGCCATCGCCGTCGCGCCGGTTCGCACCATACTAAATCGTCGCGTCGGGCTCGGATCGGTCTCTGTCGGTCTGTCTGTCTCTGTGTGTCGGGTCTGTGTCTGTCGCTAGCAGGAAGCCTCGGGACCGAGATACTCTTGGCCGTCTATGTCTGTCGATCTGCACGCGCGAAGATCTACCAATTCGCCCGCTCTATCGGGAAAAAAAATATGTACTCGCCCCTTAATGCGCTCTACAGACGAGAATCCCTCGCCTATCCTTCCAAAAAAAAAGAAAAAGAAAAAGAAAAAAAAAGAAAGCAGAAAGCAAAAATGAAAGAAAAAGAAAAAAAAAAATAATAATACGGACGTATTAAGCAAGCAAAACACATTTTATGAAGAAATACTTTATCGAATTGCAGGTTTCTTTTTTACTATGCCTTAAAAATATCTCTCCTTTTATTATTATTGTTATTATTATTATTATTATTATTATTTCACATTTCTCTCTTTTTCCTTCACTTTCATCAAAATTTCCCATGCACACATTATATACATGCATACGTGCGCGCGCGCGAGTGTGTGCGTGCGTGTATATGTGTAAGCGCACACGCCTCTCGTTGCGACGTTCGTCCGCTTTCCTCCCGTGAAAAACCTCCTTTATTATCGGACCTGTATCTGATTTTTTCACGCGTGTATCGATTCAAAAATTGTCGAATTTTCTCTTTTAATGTAAGAAAAATATATATTTGTCGTAGCATCCTCCTACCGAGAAATTGCTCCTCAACGTGAATTTGATTTTTTGAATTGTGTTTGATTTTCTGTCGAAATTTAAGTATTGTCAATGTAACAAAAAAAAAAAAAAAAAAAATAAAGAAGTATGTAATATATCGAAGAACACTGGCTGGTGGGATGATGCTTTTAACCTTATATATGCATAGATGCATACATATGTATATGTATAAACATGTGTATGTATATATGTATATATGCGTATACATACATGCGTGTGTATATGTATATATGTATGTATGTATGTATGCATATGTATGTCGCGTCGTATTCGATGACCGTTTCTGTGACGATGACACGCCACGTGTAATTATTTTTCCATCGTATGAAACTTTCACGCGCTTCTAAAGAAACTATCGCGATTTGTGACGAACAGAAGAATTTTTTTTTTTATCGAGTATTCTGTTAGCAAGAATATCGATCGATTTCAACTTTGATCATATAGCATAGAGAATGCGTGGAGCAAAATTGAAAAGTATGAAATCAACAATCGCAATGATAACGGACAAAGTATATATCTATACACCGGGTCTTTCTTTTCACGCAAATTAGCTGGGCGTTTCCCGACAACACATCGCAAAAAAAAAAAAAAAAAAAAAAAAAAAGAAAATCACAAAATCGGAATACAGGCGTTACGCACGATATATCCTTTATCGTCGCGCTTCGGATCATCCCCAGTTAGTTTTGGCAGAAACCGAGTTTCGTGATGCGTGTATAGAAAAATGTGTTGTAAATGGCAGAGAACGGTTGTTCGATATTATGCGACGATAATTTCCGCCGTTTTAGCGTAATTAAGTAACGGCCAAAGAAAGCGACGATCTGCGTGCGTGTGATTTACCGATATCGTTTAAATATTCCTCCGCCGTATATAATCATAATGCTTTCCGATACGAGAATAATGGAAATAAATAATGTCGTATTTATGTATAACTCTCAAGTAACAAGAAAAGTGCGTGCGGGTTCGACTGTCGGAATCGGTCCCCGATTACCAGACGAAATGAAAATAACATCTTACAGGATAGGATTTCAGAGACCCAGTAGACTCGTAGGATGCGTCGATTCTGTATGGGATTCTTAAATCTCGGTCGTGCGAACATTATATCGTTAATCTGTAGTAACGTAATATCGTTTTATTAACATATTAGAATTAATTAACGTGAATAATTACCGAAAAATTAATACGGCAATCGCAACTGCGCTCCGTTTAGCTTATAAATACATACATACATAAAATACATACACACTTTAAAGAAAAGAAAAAAGAAAAAAAAATACACATGCACGAGTGCGTGTATATACATCTCAGAACATACATACGTACATTACATACATGCATACGTACACACACACACACACACTTACGTATATATATTTACATATGACAAACAAACACAAACACATACACTTATATATATATAAATATAGATATACCGATTATCACCGTTTTTTCGTTTTGAGCAGCGTATACACATTGACGACGTGTGTAATATTTCTCTCCCCCCGTTTTTCCCATGGTCCTTTTTTTCTTTGATGATACGATCTGTTTTCAGAGGTAATTAGATTAATGATAATCATACTGATAATGGTTTAAAGAAAGGAATGTAATAACAATGTATTTGTGAAGATTCACAAAAAAGGCGTTTCGTGTTCTTTAATCATCATTTGCACCGTTTTTCGTCACTCAAGTTGATTGCCACCAACCCCTTCTTCCCGTACAATCCGAGCCCTCTGTTATACTATCCAGCCCCTATCACCTCCGTAAGATGTATTGTCTAAGAAGTTACACGCCCCGTATTAATCGTTGGTTAAACGGATGTGCGCGCTTTTTACTGGCTTCCTGCGTTTCGTGCGTTATGAACGTGTCGTCGTAATCATCGGACACACGATATTGACAATTCCTTGGAGAACCGAATATGCGTGTCGTCGGCCTTATTTTCGTCGTCGCACTCTCTTTATGAAGTAAACCGGCCAACATACACGTAACAGTGTGTCTCCGCGTAGTTACGCTCCTCACATCCCCTATTTTTTCTCTCGTGATCGGGCGAAAGAAAAACTTAGATTAGTTCTCCCTTCTTGTTTCTTAGTTGCCTATTTATACAAAAAAACTGACATGTAATTTTATAGGCAGAACTATTGTGGGTAATTTCTTGACAACTATGCTCTACTATATATTCTGTTGTACATGCAGTAGAGTTGTTTCCGTTCCGTTGTTTCTTATTTGGACATAAGTGAACGATCGTTCACAAATATCGTGAAAATAGTAATAAACAGTCAAAATATATCGGTGAACGATTGTATCAATTTTGTACACACGTATACACATGTATATGCATTTTTCGTTGCACACATGTTGGTATGTATTTTTTTTTTCTTTCGTTTTTTATCTTGTTTTATTTTACATGTTTTCATTTGTGAATATCTTGTTAAATTTCTTGTCCTATTTTACAAGTATTTTAACGATTACGAAGTATTAGACTTTGCTCTCTAATAAGCAATTGTAATAATAACAATGATAATTTCGATTCGCTTGACGATAGCAATTCAGCAATCTATGTTGGGAAATGATACTGAAGCATAATCCGAGTTACCATTTCTACGAGAGTAAAATGGATATGAGGGAATTTCACGCCATTAAGAATTATGTATATGCGTTTTTAGATACGTAACGTAATCTCTTGGGGAAAATAATTATTGAGAAAAGATAGGCAGGCATATTCGAGTAATCTAAACATACATTTCATTTATCTCAGTTGATGGTTACGTAATTAAAAATACATGCGAATGCGACGTCCGTTGTTGACGCGATTAGCACACGCGAGAATAGTCGACGGAATGAGCCAAAAAGAAAAAGCGGTATCTATTGACCAATACATATACACGTGTGTGTTGCGTCATCGTGTTCGGAACTTGAAATATGGAAAGCATGATTTCGTCCCATGTGTGACGGCAATTCGATCGATCAAGTCGTCGAAGATTACATTCTACCGGAGTTAACACACGTCGATCGGGCAACGTCCTACGGTGATCTGACGTTATTTCGTAGCCTTACGAACATATATGGTAGTCTCCGCCGTTGAAGCCGTTGCAACCGTTCAAGTTGAGATGCGTCGTCGGGGTTGCCGAGATATATGCACAAACTCTCATAACATAAAAAGGTCGACGGTATGAGAATTCCCGAGCCAAGTAACTATCGGAAATATGTACGAATCCCTCCACGAATAACGCAACTGTATCAGTCGCTGTGTGGTAAATGACGCGTGACGCGCGACTTTCGAGAAGTGAAAGATAAAGCCAAAAAAAAAAAAAAAAAAAAAGATATACAC